TGGCCATATAAGGGGCCGCAGATTTAAAAGTGCTAATGCCCCAATTCAGACAGACTGGGACGATCCCAAACGTGAACGCAACCGTAACTGTGGTTAATTTGTACTTGCATACAGTACCAAAAGAAAACCATCTTCATAAAGCAGAACAGACAAGGCCAAACGCTCAAAATAGTTTTCAAACAGTCAGAGCATTCAGTCCTTAAATCATCTCCCTGCAGAAGAAACTGCAACCAGCATTGTGGCTGTATGAAAATGTTGAAGGGGGCTGTAGCAGCCCACACATTAAAACCTTCCCCTTTCCCACCCCAAGAACAGAATTCAAAATGTAGTTTTGCCCTCCTAATTAATATCTGCCTTTTATGACATAACTCAGCTATAATAGTGACAACAGCATCACATGGGAGCTCTGAACACTTCGAGGAGGAAACCACTGTCCAAGAACTGCTTTGTCACGGCAACTGATTAATAACCCTTCGCGTTTTTGAGTGTCTCTGCTCATTTGGTACTGACTGCTCCCTGGATATCCGAGATTTAAAATGGTCAAAAACTCAGTGCTTGTCTCAAGGAAAAGTGCATCTGTTTTTCAAGATACGAAAAAGGAATTACTGCTCCATGAGACAAATGCTGGTGCTTAGGGTTAGCTGACTGCACCACAAGTCTCAGAGGAGGAAGATCCTCTGCTCCCCCTTTCCAAAAGCTGTTCTATTACATGACACTAAGAGAATGGGACTTTAAAAGTTATTTCTAACTAAAACTGTCATGAGCTTTCTAGGGATATAAACGCCAATTTTTTGATGTCCCAAGAGATCAGCTTCCAGCTCCAGAAAAATAAAACCAACCGCCTCCTAATCTGTCTGGAAATGAGGTATTTACACAGGCGACATGAAGAGCGCCGCATTCATTTTTCCAGCAGACCGTGCTGCGGCCAAGTGCTACCTTTTGTATCGTACTCTAACGCTCTTCCAAGTCCTGCCTGAAGGATTCAACAGCCCACCTCCGTAGAAGGGGAATACATGAATCTCTCACGCCTGTTCTCAGGCCCTGCCAACTGGAATAATTTTAAGCACAGATTTCTACTCATTTATGTTCAAAATGGCAACATTAACGTTAAGGAAATTTTATTGGCTTTGGAAAAAAAGCCAGAGAAGGATTTAAGTGCAGAGATGCTGACCTCAGAAATACAGACAGACCAATCAAGCAACATTATGATAAAGTGTTTATTCATTTTTTTTAAATATCAAATTTTTTTTTTTTTACACATCAATTTTGTTGATAAACAGTCCCCCAATATTAACAAAAAAAAAAAATCAAAAAAAGAATCAAGTGTGTATTACTTTGGGCAGAACCACATCCCACTCTCTGATGACACAACCACTCCTCCCTTCAGCCACCTGCGAGGACAACCGCAGTATGTTCAGCCCAGAAGAGTAAATGACACAAATGCAACCAGCTTTAGGATTCCTGAGTATTGATTCCCTCAAGTTCCTCAAGTGAGTTTGTAAAAAAACTCTTAAGCTAAAAAGCATCAGTCAAAGAGTAACCCAAACCGCTACGCATTTGGATCACGGACTAAGCCTCGTCTACACAGTGCAGGAAGAGATCTCTTGAACGCTTCAGAGGGGAACGATGTACACGAAACCAACCCCATTTCCCAAGCCGACTTCTGAGAGAGGCAGGCAAAAATATTCTTGATTTCTCCTCTTTGAATTCACGTTAGAGTTCTGGGGAGCCGTTTGGCAAGAAGTCCAAGTCTGGTGAAGAAACCTCTAGGATCTGTTCCTCCTTTTATTCGTAAATGGCATAGTGTTTTAAAGAAAACTTATCTGGAAGTTAAGCATTCAGCAAGTACACTTAAATATTGCTACTTTTGAGGAAAGGGGACGGCAAGAGGGAGAGACAAAGACAGAAAGAGGGGAACATATCTAGGAGGTACAAGGTTAACAGTCCTGGAGACCAAGTGTCTACGTAGAAAGTTGAACATACGTAGCAACAAGGCAGAGATTGTCACGATAACGCAGCGTAGCTCAGCTCTGTCCAGCAGCAGGTAAACATGCCAGGGACCGTCACCAGGAAATAATTTCCTCCTCTCGTCAGAATTATCTGTGTCCAGCAGCTTTCAGATGTCGGTATGTCACTAAACATCACCTCTAAACTCACCTAGAGCCTCGTGTACAGGAACATGCATTCAGCAAGAGGCTGAGTAAATTCCTTCGGTATCTTTAAGCAAAAGAATACATCCCAGAAACCAACGGCAAGGTACATGACCACAGTGGCTTCAGGAAACACCCAGAAACAAAGCTCTACAGACCCTCAAGGGTCCCCCACAGGCGCCGGCATCTTTATGAGGCAGCTTCCGAGTGTTGCTTTATTCTCTATAGATGGACTTTTCATAGTGAAATCATTTTGCTAAGCTGATGTGACATTAGTACATCGGGGCACTGATGAATGAGGAGGGGGAAGAGAAGAGAGTGAAGAGCCTTATTTTAGGCCAGGGTACATGGCTCCTTGGAAACCTGAACAGCTTTTGGCATTACCTTTATCCCCCGCTCTAGCCAACAAGCAGTCTGCCATCCATGCTTGAATAGAAGTATTCACCGTGTGGGCCAGGTAAGCACAGAGACCAGTTAAGGGATTGCTAAAGGCTGAGCAAGGGATGTGTGCATACAGCAGAGAGGACACACGTGCACGTTAAAACAGAAGACAACTTTTAGACAGCGTTCGCTAAATACATGTTCTATTGCATTTTATTTCAACCTTAAATACTCACCACTGCCCAGATTTTCTCCAACATAAATGTTGCTCCTAAAAAAACTATTCTCTAATTTAGCAGCATGTAGCCGTTCACTCAAAGCAAGGCTCTGAAATTAAGAGATTTAAATCACCAGGCTTGGACCAACTTGATAAAATAGTTTTACAAGTATTTTTCAGTTGGGGGGTCAGGCTTTGTTTCTAGCACTTCAGAGAAAGTTACCCAGGAAATTCTAGCACTATTGATAAATGCTTCAGTACAGCTTTGGCAGAAGGGCAGGTTTCAAAAATTATATTTGACAAAGAATAAAACTGAGCATTGAAGCAAGTTGGCTGATGCTCTAAAGCTTTTATAGCATAAATTCTGTATATGCAGGCTAAGTAAACGTGGCCATAAAACTAGAGCCTTTAACCAGTTTGGTGCAAAGCAGCAGTACTTCGTCTAGCTATTAGCAATTGCTCTTAAAAACATAACGTGTAAATACGAAAAGGGTCTAACATTGAATGGCTAACATCTGATGCCGTAACGTCAAGAAGCTGGCAGTAGGTGAACCTGCAGGCTAAGGGCGCAAATTCAGCTCTCGCGCATCCAAGAGGGCCAACCCGCAGCTGGTCTCTGCGTACCAGATGGGGGCTTGCTCCCAGGACCACCTCACTGAGACCCGTGGCGTGAATCGGGAGCAGATTCGGCTGTTTAGACTGAGGACGCTCTCTGGACCCGAGAGCTGGGAGCTTCATTCTTGTTGCTGCTTTTGATCGTGAACCAGATGCAGATGGGAATGGGTCTAATATATCTTATTTCCTAAGGCTTCTAGAGAGAGATCTGATGACACTGTACTCCTGTACCAGCCCAAGCGTTACCCTTTACAGAGGCGGCTTTCGCTGATCTGAGGTGCTCATTAATATTTATATATTAATTAATTATTTAAATATTAATATATTTTTAAAAACTTCAGCAGGGGTAACTCTTGACCACCTGCACGGTAAAGATCATAAAGCTGTAGTCTTGCCTCAGTAACTCATTTTGAACAGAGCCTCAAGTGAATTAATTACTCGATGCTGCTCTGGCAAGGGGTCCCCAAACAGCCAAGCGCTGCTTCCTACGTACTCACGGAGCAACGCCTGCTGCCGGCATCACAAGTAGTGGGATATGAACTAAACGTGTCTGGGAGCCCCAGGCCTAGCTGGTACGTTCACAGCTCATGCAGAAGCTCCATTCAACAGACAGAGGAATGCCTTAAAGCTCTTCTTTATTCTAAAGGATCTCCTGGCTGCCCAAGCGTCTAAGAAAAACCTGACAACCACTGCCCACTGACATCAGAAACTCCTGCAAGTTCACAGATGAAACCAAATTGGTCTTGTTTTTAAATGCCACCCTGCATGAAAAAAGCCTGGCACACACGTAGGCAAATCTGCTAAGCAACAGGGAAAACAAAACACCAGGAACACAGGCCTGAGACAATGATAACAACAAACGAAAGCCATGAACAAAAACATGTTTCCAGCTGCTGCTGACCCATCACTTCGGGTTTAGCTCACAGCGGGAAGTTCAAGACGAACACTTGACACAAAGCCACTTCTGAGATTTGCAAGTGGGACTAAGCAAAAGTTCCTACTTAAAATTTGGTATCATGTTTCAGCCACACTTTCCTTCCCCTTCCCCAGCCCCAACAGTGTTTCGGGGCTTTGCAGAGCATCACAAAGTAGTTAATCCCCAAAAAAAGCATCTGGAAAGGGCTTCCTACAGCACAGCCTCCGTGAGTCCTCATCATGCAGGCTACTCACCAGGGACTTCCCAGAAGGCCACGATGGTTATAACGCAGAAGCCACGTCAGTGCATTTGTTTCATAAACCCTATTGGGGAGCCCTCGCTCTTTAAGAGGTATTAAATTAGTACCCCACCAGCCGCTACAGGCTTTCCACAGTTTGCATTTCCACAGCTGAGAGGCTGATCATCCCCAAACATCGAGATAAACTAGTGCAGAGCAGATTTCTTCATTCTTCTGTTCACACCCGCGCTCGGTGCATAGAGAATACATCTACTGAAACAGTTCATTCTTCCAGGGGCGGAGGGGGATTAAGAGCCATAACACACGGTTGGTTTGTTAAACAATTTCATCGTTAAGGTTTTGCCTTAAAGTGGTTGAGCTTGTTCTTTTGGGTGGGGGAAACATGATGTGGGCAAGGCTAGAAAAAAAAATGTAAAATACTCCTTTTCCCTTCCCCCCCGCCCCTACAATTAATACCAGCACATCTTCAAATAAGTTAAAACGTCTCTTAAGTTTTGGTAGCACCAAATTCTATCCCTTCCCTTCTTCTATCCCCATGTTGTAAACTTGAACACACTGGCCCAAGAGCGTAAAAGGGTTTGGCAAAAATAGGCATCAGCCTTCCCCGTGCACACACAAAAAGCGTGCGCTTCCAAAAACCCCCTCCACCCCTCACTCCTCTTGCAAAGCGTTACACGTCTGTGGGCATCTACATACCTTTAGTAGCTGCCATAATAGTTTCATCAGCGTCACAGGTGGACATTGGGTTACAAAGCGCAGGAGAGCTAAAACAAATCCACAAAGTCCGTTTGGACAAGCGCTGTTTCGCGTCTGTGCCATACCGAACTCGGCGTGCGCCTCCTGTCCTGTGCACACGCACGGTCAATTCACTTCACAATCTGCTTTGCGCTGGACAGGGCGGTGATCTTAATGGCTTCTGCTTTTTATTCGTAACATTGGAGCTTATTCTAAAATTGTACATTTAAATAAAAACATTAATTTTAATCCAGTATGCATAATTAAAAGCTATCCTGTCCACACAATGCTAGGATGTTTTCTTTCTTTTAAAAGGCCAAATCTAACGAGTGAAACAGAAGAGACAAGTTACTTTGGCTGCAAATAATTAAAAAATCTGGCTCAACATTCTGCTTGTACATTATGGTGTATAATTTAGATACGTCCTTTAAAAGAAAAGACACCCCAGTCAGCTACCTCTTCCGTAGTTATGTAGGAACAACGATACTCTTGGCTAGCAAAATGAGAAGAGCAAGATCTGCGTTTCCATCCGCTTGTTCCAAAGCCTCGAGAGCCTCCCGTGTGGTAAAACCAGCACCAAGGATCCGATCAACGTCAGCCGCAGGGAAAGCAGGTGGTAGAGAAGCACCCGAGGTAAGTCCAGTATAGCCAGCTGGTGGGCTCAGCAGTGGTTCCTCACACCCATCCAACGGCCACAGACCTTCAGGAGCAGAACTGCTGCTTCTCCCAGGTTCTCCTGTGAACAGGCTCCGAGTATCTTGAGGTGCGCCTTCATCCAAAGCAGGTGTAGAGGAAACGGATGCATTTTGCCCCAAAGTCGGACTCGTTGGACTCTGATAACCTTCTGCCAAAACCTCTGCCTGCTCAGAGCTCTGTTGCTGGTCAGATGTCGCTGCAGAATTCACCACGACCAAATCACTCTTACCTGAAAAGTTCTGAATCTCTGAAGCACCTTCTCCGAGAGCTGACTGCATGCAGCTGACAGACCCAATGCTGATGTTTTCTACGCCAGAATCACAAGGCTGTTTCCCCTCTGCTCCTCCACCTTCAGACCTCACCTTATAGAAGGAACAACTCCGTTCCTGGCTGGCTGGATCCGAGTCTTTCTGCTCATCTTCAGAAAGCCCCTTCTGTTGTGCTGCTGACTCTCTGTGAGCCATTTCCAGCTGAGAGACTTCTTCAGAGGCAAGGATTTTACATTCTCCTTTCCGACTGATAATCAAGAGTTTGTGCAGCTCTTTCAAGGCTGATGCTAGAGAGAAACATGGCTCTTCTGAAGGTCTTCCTGGATCCGTGTCCAGCTGATGGATGCTGGAGGGGGAAGAGCTGCCTTCAGCTGACAACTCATCATACTTTGCAGGAATTTCACTAGTGCTTTTAGGCTGTGGGACATCACCGGTGGAAAGCGGATCACTCAAGGAGGATGCAGACTTCAGTGACTCCACCTCCATAGAAAAGGCATCCGAGTTCAGGTCAGATACATTTCTGTTCTCAGCCTGCCGCTTCTGCTCGCTTGCCGAGCTGTGCGCTTCAGCTACAGACTGCTCAACTACATCTACTTCCATGAAGGCTTCCGTATGCATACAGCTACGGGAGGCTGACATTTGGATACTCCCTTTCGCACAGGAAAGACCTGCTTTCTCCTGTCCATGTCCTTTCATTTCCGTAGGAGGATTTTCTGGCTGGCTGGCTTCTTCCACAACAGGTTTCTCAACCCCACCAACATGGCACGGAGGTTCTGGGTCAGTTGTCTCAGTTTGCTTCTCCAGATGTTCCTTTTCTGGTTCTTTGCACGTCTGATGGTCTATGGGAAGCTCATGCTTTTGCTCCTGTTCTGAAGACAGACATAGATCTTGATTTTGCCCGTGCTTAGCAGCAGTGTCAGCCAAACTAGTTTCTTTTGTCACTTCCAAACGAAGTTCCTGACCACAGTCTTGTTCTTTAGCGTTACATTCCTTTAGACTGTCAGCAATAAACATTTCTTTGAGTGTCTTCTGTGAAAGGCAAGCTGGATTGCAACAGGTTACCTCCCCTGCTGGGGAAGAAGGGTCGTTATGTGCCAAGGAAGTGTTATTGGAAAGATGCTGTAATAAAAGAGGATGTTCTTTTTCTGGGGTTATCTGGCATTCAGTTGAAGACTCAAAAGACTCGACGGCTCTAGGATCAATGGGCTCTGCGAGACTAGATTCGGATGAGCAAACTGAAGCAGGGGCAGAGACAGAACGATCAAGTAATTGATTGGTGGGATTACAGATCTTGGAATTTAGTCCTGAAGACTGGACTGGATTTTGAAACCCATCAGAAGCTGGTAATGAGGGCATTTCCAGTGAGGTAGTTTCTTTGTCACTATTCTCTGACAGAAGACAGAAAGAAAGAAGTAGTTAGGACACACGAGAACGACTGTTTTCACTGTAGTAGCGAAAACTTATAAACCAATGGCTATAAATACCTGGTCTGTGGCCCACTCCAGCTGCAGTAAACACACACTACATGCATCAAGGCTTCTGACGTTCTGTTTGGATTAGGAAACAAACACACCAAACTTGTGTTAGCATTCAGAGCACACCACATGCATGGTTATAGTCCTGCGGCCTCGCAGCTCCCCTCCCGACTGTCCATCAAGACAGCGTACGAGCAGCAGGAGCTCCTCACGTTCGCTGCCTTCCAGAAGGAGTTCTGCCTGGGAAATTCGTTACGTCAAGTCAAAAATAACTCTGCTGGAGAACAATTTAAAGGCTGTTCTGTACTCTCTACGCTGCAGAGTGGTCCGTGGGTGATACTATGTGCTTGATAAAATATACGCAGCACAAGGCACGTGTCTAGCACCGTACTGGTTTGTTCTCCGTACAGCTGAAGATATTCAGGAGCCATCTTTCAGGGAAATGACAATTAAGAGGGCATCGCCATTCTCGGACTGCGCTCCCAGCAGCTATTGCTTTGCGATGGCTAGTGGCATCACAGGGAGGAGAAGGCGAGCAAACATCAGCTTGCTGCAAAAGGGAAGCGTAAGGATCCTAGGGTGAAAGGCAGAAATCCCCAAAAGGAACTGCTGCCCGGGGCTGGGAAGAGCAAAGCAAAGGAAGAGACAGCCAGAAGTCAAACTCCGCTCGCTGTTTCCTTCTCCACACGGAGAACGGATGAATTGCAGATCTCTATCAGTAGCACCAAACACTGGGTCTCGTTATCAGGACAGATTAAGTAAGTGAACTTATCTTGCTAATAGTCTAATCTTGCTCATGTATTGGCTCTCATGCTCTCGTTAAATCACTAACATGACCTTTGCTTAAGAGCGCCTGTTCTTCCATTAAAGCCCTACTCTGTCCAGTGTCAGATACCCAAACAGTGACCCAGGTTTTGTGCTGCGTGATTTGTTGCACTAGTTCCCTTTCCCTTTCCAAAGGCCTCCAGACTCAGCGGTCTTAAACATATACCACTGTTTTCCCTTAAGTCTTTCTCTTTTTACAGATACCCAGGTGTACTGGGGGACAGCTAACCACGCTCCCATGTACAGCCAGGATTTCCTTTAAGTTCCACATCATGGAAGAAACCTGCCTTTTTCACCTCACCTACTCGTTTCTTTTATTTTCCGTTAAATAAAAATGGTGCACTGCATGCTGCGATACCACACCTCCGATCAATACACTTTGGTATAAAATACAGTGGCCGTTGCACAGAGCAATCCCTTCTGTTGGCTGCACATCTGGTCTTAATACAGCTACAACAACTTGGCGACGCTGGAGTATTAAAAAGCCAGAATTATCCTGCAGATTTTCAGACCACTCATCTTTCATAAGGGTGGCAAAAGAGGCTTGTGACAGAGGATACGGATGAAAACCGGAGGGATCTTTTTCTGTTTCTACGCGGTAGGATTACGTTCACGCTCTCTGCTCCCAAGCCAATCCTTTAGAGAGGAAGCAGAACTGTCTTTTGACTCAGTGGATCGGTAATAAGGGTCTGATCAAACACATCAAGGGGTTTGCAGTCATTTAGACAGCAGAAGTAGCTGGTATTCTGCCAAGCGCTCCTCAGCGTCATCCTTCCGAGACCCACTGTCATCCTCCTCCCAGGGTATCTACAGGAGCTGAATCCCAGCCCCATCAAGGATATCGATCCAGCTAACACCGGGAACAAACTCTTCTCCACAAAGTGCACCATCAGGGATAAATTCCTCTCTATATTAGGAAAAGCCCGAGTTGCATATGTGGTGGCAGTGCCCTTCTTATATCGAGGCTGTCTGGATAAAAAGCTGTATATGGGGTAAGCTACCTGAATACGTTTCCTCCTAAAGCAACTGTAGTTTTGCTGCCAGTTTTGTAAATCCTCCATAATCACAGAATCGTTACCAGTGGTGGTGGTGGGGAAAACGCCGCATATTGGCAGAAAAGAGCAAGCTCGCAGACATAAATGAAGCAGATGTGGAGGGTCTAGATCACAGTAAAACATACCAGGACTCCACTACCACCTCAGCTGCCTTGCCGTAGGTGCTGAAACACCGGCAAGTCAGCTGGCAGAAATCGTGACACTTGCTAAAGTGGGCTTTGGGGAGTTAAATAAAGCTCAAGAATAATCCAGGTGCATTCAAAAGGAGAACTTTAATAGCCTACAGACGTACGCAGTGATTTCTGTTGTACCATCTACCAGAAGGCAGCGAAAATTCAAGCTGTTATGAAAGAACACAGGCCTTGCGGGGAGCTGAGCTTCCTTGGTCCCGCATTATGTTCTCTCCCTCTCCAGTTTCCTGTTCTTTCACTCGGTTTTCCTGGTACCATCTAGCAGCAGCTAATAGTTTTGGAAGAGAGGAAGAGGGTATATATTAATATTCTGACATCTTAGGATACAGCCTGTGAGCCAGAGGCTTGTAATACGTCTAAGACTTACACACAGTCAATCTAAACAAGGCCTACCTTAGTTTTGTGCACGGGTGTTCTACAAGAATTAAGTGAATACGCAAAACGGATTTCCTATTCTCGTAAATCTTTTACGTTCCTCTAGGGCTCAGCATCAATGGAAAACGGTAGACTGCTGATTAGTCTGAACAAAGCCACGTGGTCTTTAGAACTGTACTGGTACATAAGCAGCTTTGATTTAAGTCATTTTAGGCGCTTTTCATTTTAAAGCATTTGACTGAAATGCTTTAATTGTAAAGACTCTCATATTTTGGGCCAAGGTTTGCTTCTTATTTGACCCTTTCAGCAGAGAACTAAGTCCAACCAACTATGATGTCTGCAAAGTCTCATCCGAAATGGAGAGAGACTGCAAAAACCAACCCGGGCTTCATCAGGCTCAAAGTTTTAACAGGAAAAGAATTAATATTTACATCTGCACATTTTCTCTGCCAGATTATGTGAAGAGACATGAGCCCAAGCTACCAAGTCCAACCTTTAGCTATGTCAAAACCTGACAGGGGCAAGGTCAAATCTATGTTTGTGTTTCTCTCTACTTGCTGCAACTTAAGTTAATAAGCATTCAAATTTGGCTTTAAAAGTCAAACATGTAAAACACGTAAACCATTTCTTGCTGATTCATTAAAGCCAGGCCTTCCTCTCGGTTTTTACGTCCAGAGGTTTTTACGTCTCTGGAAAACCTGTGTTCTTAGAATGGAAGAAAATTGGTCAAAGGGACCCACAAGTGCAGTCCCGTGCTCCCCTTAATGTAAACAACTTCGTTATTTGCAAGAAAGTCACTGCTTACTCTTTGGACTATCAAGCAGCAAATGGGAAGTGTTCAAGAAAAATTTCAGTGCATTACAACTGGTTGCATCTAGCTATATAGCTATATATAGATGTATATGTATATATATACACACATGGTTAAATCTGGTTATTGCATTTCAATTTTAAATATGGGCATGCTAGAGCCTTAAAAAATTAGCAATAAAAACGTTGAAGAAATCAACTTTATCAGCTTAAACATGACCCGGCAAAGAGTTTTGCATGTGTGTGGGAAGCAGAACCTTACTGCGTGCTTTCAGAGGAAAAATTAGCAGTAAAACTCAAAAGTCTCTATAAAACACTTGCATATAAAACGTTACCTTTAAAAGCTTTGTAAAAGGCCTAAGGAATACACTCTGTGAGGTATTCACAGCTTCACTGCAATAGCGGGGAAAAAAAATTATGAAGCTTTCCTTTAGTCAAAAACATATGCTGAAGTTAAGGGAGGAGTTAAAAGGAAAATCTGAGTTTCAGATAGTTTGGCTCATAGCTCAGCGTTCAGCTATTTTGGCGTCTCCACTTAACTAAATTTTGCAGCTACCAAAATCTTCCGTAGCCCAGTCAGTCTGCATTTGTGCAGCTTACAGATTCCAGAGGCACAGGGAACAAATCTATGGGGAGGGTGAAAATTCTCTTTGCAGATCCCATTTAAGGCTGATGATATATATTAGGATGTGAGTTCAGCTGCTTCTCTTGAAATTTAGAGCAACAGTAATCTTCAGTAAGAGAAGCAATTCACCTTCCAAGGGCAGAAGCACCATTCTAATGACAAAAATGCTGAAATAGTACTATTTCTAAAAATTGTCATGAACTTTTGTCCAGAAATTTGTACTTACTGCTATAGCTCCTCTATTTTTATATGCTGCAGCTATTAAGAACAGGGTTTGCAGAAGACTCCACAAAACTGCCCTTACATGAGGCTGCTAAAAGATCACACAGCTGAACCATGTCCCTGACTAGGGACTGCACCTTCACCCAGGTGAACGGGTGCCAGAGACAAACCATTTTTCTCCACACCTTCGAAGGCCAAGAAACCAGAGCGGGTAAGGAAGTTGCAAGGAGAGCACAAATTAAACAGCAGGCACCCCCGAATGCCTTCATGCGACAGATTTTACTGTACAGAAAGGAAGAGAGAAGTGCGGTTAGAGGCCACGAGCAAGAATAAAGCCCCTCTCTCTCCACCATTTACTCGCTGATGCTGGATTAGACTGTATCTCCTAGGAGCTGAGAAGGGGGACTGCTGACAGGCATCCTGATGCACAGCAAGAAAACTACGCGGATTAATATTTCAACTGGGCTCCTCCTGGTACCTGCTTCCTCTACGGACTTCTGTATTGCTTCTGCTAGTTCCTGGTCTGCAATCTCCTCCGGCCGCATGTCTTCCCGCCCGGCCCCGTAAGCCAGCCGGGCACACTCTGGGAGCTCGCCCTCCGGGAGGAAAGTGGTCTGCGAGCCAGTCGTGCCGATCACTAGTACATTCTTCTTGAGATCAATCGAACACTGTGAAAGAGCATCGAGACATCAGGGGCCTGCATAAGAGCCAGTCAATTCCCGGAGAAGAAGAAGGAGAAACAAGGTTAAACAATCCATTTCCAACGGGAACAGCTCATAGCAGCTAAGCACAGTGGGCCAAGAGCACCAGCTATAAGCAAAGGGCTCCGTATGACTTGATTTGTAATAAATCATTCTGTTGGAAAGCTCTGAGCATCTTTGATGAGAGCAATAAACTTCAGGGAGCAGGCAGACACCCTATAGCTATCCGTGATGTATGTAGCGGTTAAACAATCCATTTCCAACGGGAACAGCTCATAGCAGCTAAGCACAGTGGGCCAAGAGCACCAGCTATAAGCAAAGGGCTCCGTATGACTTGATTTGTAATAAATCATTCTGTTGGAAAGCTCTGAGCATCTTTGATGAGAGCAATAAACTTCAGGGAGCAGGCAGACACCCTATAGCTATCCGTGATGTATGTAGCGTATGTACTTCTTTCATAACTGACTGGAAGGTAATCCACTATCAACTCTCCCCAGAAAAATCCTAATAAATTCACAGGCTTGCGTTTATGTTATGTACTTCTTTCATAACTGACTGGAAGATAATCCACTATCAACTCTCCCCAGAAAAATCCTAATAAATTCACAGGCTTGGCGTTTATGTTGCACTTAGCACTTAACTTGGAAGAGCCAGTAACTGTTTCAAAAGATACCTGATGCCTCTTCAGCATATCCAGTCCTAGAAGCATGTCCATGGGCTGCTCTTCAAGGATTGAGAAGGAGCACGCCAGGAAATCCCCTTCAATCTGGACCTGAGCTGAAATGCAAGGGAGAGAAGTTACCACCTCGCAACGCTACAGCGCAACAAATCTACTTTCTGCTCTTCCATCTCCTGGGAAAGGTCTGCTGGGTAAATCTGAAACCAGAGCTCTGACGTACTGTTTGGGTCACAGAAAGCCTAACCCTGTGCAAGCCCTAGGACTACCAGGCCTGCCTTGGTCTCAAGAAGTTAATTATTTTAAAAGCTGACCTGCTCTAGAGCCTGAAGTACTGCTTAGCTAACCCTCCAAGCTAGAGGAGCTGCGTACAGCTCGTTAGAGCACAAGTCTAAAAAGCAACAACAGTGAAGAGAATGGATTTTTCAGACAATAAGGGCAATCGTCTCTCACCCAGAAAACCTGCACAAGAGCACAGAGAGCCTTCTCTTCCCAAAGGAATATGAAACACTCCACTGTACCGGAACCCTTCCTGAGCGACTCACACTGCCCAAGTCCCACCCCAAACAGGAAAGATCCCGCTATTTCACGTTAGCCCCGTTTTTTGCACCCAGAGTGAACACATCCTCTGAGCTGAGGACTCCCTCACCTAAAAGTGTTAAGGTAATTCCATTAAATAAGCATTAAATGAGACAGAAGCCAGGCTACTGTGCCCGAGACAAACGAACATATTGCATATGCACTTTTATTTTATTCTGCAGGAGTTTCTAACAATTACAGCATTAAACCAGATACTCCTCGGTGCCACGACTGTGGGAAATGCAGTCAGACTGCTGCTAAAGCTGCCCCAAGAAGAATGCCAGTACTTACCTAAGTGCACCCTGCCAATTATTTTCTGCGTCCCTACACCTTTAGCAATGCCAGCCCATCGTCGATCTACCAGCCTCATTATGTTGCACCTTTCAGCACAAGCTTGGCTCATGATGGTCATCTGGGCACCTACCAGCGACAGAATTGGTGTTAAGTCCTGACAGCTCATCACAAATTACAATTCCCTCCTGGAAGGGCTTAAGATCTTGCACTCAGCAGCCGGGAAACCACACTGCATCAGCAACTGCATTAGGGCATAAAGGCTTCCTGTGAATCCCGCTGCGTTGAACTGACTGTGTATACACAGATCAGCACTGACAGTAAAGTACGTATTACTGTAGAGCTGGAATAACCCCAAGTGCTTTCCCTTTAAGGCTGTGGATGGGAAGCACAGCATTAAAGGCATACAAAATCCCCCCCATCTGTAAAATGAGGTAAGATACACATGTGGCAGTTACCTTTCTGGCATCGCGGCCCCAGAAATTCTCACAGGAGCCTTGATCTGGGGGTGTTCAAGCACTCATGTGCGCTGCTTCTCACAACGATTTACTCTGTTCGCCTTAAACAATGCCCAGGCTGCTCTCGGGTTTTAATTAGGTGCTTCAAGATCACGTAATGCAGTGCTTTATTATGGAATTTTTGGGCAAAACTTCTGGAGCATTTACAGTCTCCCTCAGGGAGGGAAAGGAGAGTGCGGAGAAAGAGATGAAAATGGGGGCTACTCACCTGAGTCAACAAAGGCTTTCACTGGATGTCCATTGACTTTGCAGTTAATATACAGCATCACCACCTGGCCAAAACTCTCAGGGGCCTCTTCCATTGCTATCGTCATATTTTCTTCAATGTTTTGTTGCCTGAATTTAATGGAGAAGAGAGAGAAAAATCAAGACGTTCCATCAGCCAAACCTTATAAGCATCCCTCTGACTTACAGACAGATCTGGTAATCCCACCTGCTGCAGCTCACCTTACAAACAGCACGTTTAAACCACAACAAAGACTGCTTCGTTAGCTAACCAGAGCCGCCTTAGCAGAGGGATTGCTAGTAATGATCTTGGCTTAATCCAGAGACACCAAGTCGCTCCTCAGCAGCCAGGAAGACTGCTCCTTCCAACACCTTGCCTAACTCACACGACAGCACCTGACAACCTTCTGTTTGCAACGAAACCGGTCACCACAGAGTTAACCTGGAGAACTTGTGAGTGAAAAACTTGTGTATTTATTAGTCACGCTAAAATAAAGCGCTGAGGGCACACGATGAAGGTGTTGCCAGTAGCTACAATGCTGGAATCTCACACAGCAGCTGAACATTAACATCCTCCAACGTTTCCCTGGTATCCTTCCTTTTCCAGGCATAGGAAGGGAGGTGAGCAAAACCGCAGCAAGAACACCACCATGAGCACAAGCCCTCACTGCAAATTCAAGCCTACAGAAGAAACGCTCTTCAAGAAGCCCATCACAGCCCCTACAGTAATCTTGGAAGTGGTGGGTATCCGTAGCGACTGCATCCAAAATAGCTTTACCTACCAAAAATGGAAAAGGGCTTCCCATTTTGATGCCATTTTGCTTTTCCTCCTCAGTAGGGGAAGGGGAAAAACCCCTGAGCTCCTCTCTTACCCATCTCCTGTACTGTGGCAGCCTTCCCACAAGAAGATGGGTAGACGTGGTTTCTTGGTGGGGGAGGCAAACAGCTAACAGCATCCGAGACCTGGCTCGCTTGGGAGTTAAAGCACCCTGCTACCCCGCTGCCAGTCTGTCCCGCCTCATATACTTGTGAAACAAAGAGCCACGCGTTGTCCTATCTTTTATTATTTAAGCTTAAATCAGATATACAGTGGTTAATCTTCAGTTTGTTTTCTCGTCAAATCCATTATTCTGTTTTCTCTGTGCTTGACACTCTCTCCACTTGAAGGACAGAGACGTGTCTCAAAAAATACGATGCTTGCAATAGCTTCCAATCAAGCTTGGGCAGAGCGCATCTAATGAAGCAAGGAGTTCAGAGAAACTAAGTGGGGTGTGAAATCTGGGGACTGCTAGATGCCCAAACTGCTCCCTAACAGCTGCACAGCCTTGGGCACGTCACTTTCATCTGTCCCCTCATCTATGGAAGAAGGAAACCGTTCCTGTGCCTCCGAGCAATGTTTTGCTATCTATAAATGTCTATTTTTCTGCATTGCTAAGCTAAGCATTTATCCGGCACCAACACCTTGTCAGTCATAATGCAAGAATGACTCTTACCACAAATGAATTTTGGTTATGACCAACTACGAGCCTGTATCACAAAGACATTTCTTTATTGGGGAAAAAACATCAGTCATGTTCTGACTCAAGGATTTATCACTCAATTTAAGAAATCAAGCCTCAGCCCAATGCAATTACATTCGGAAGACAGCAAGAGGGAGCGAGCGCTGATGAGCAGAACATATTTCTACAGAACATCTCTTTCTGACAGCAGTGATGCTCAGAGTCTGGAATCAGCCAGAGAGACAAAACAATTAGCAGTACGCGAAACCAAATCTCAAAGGCAGCTGGGAGAAATGACGCCACGTTGCTGTGCAGAGAGCTCAGCTTAGAGACTAACACAGGCCCAGCTCTCCGGTTCAAAACACGCCCAGGGCGCCCAAGTACCGCCTCTCAAGAGGATCTCGGCCAAGTGCTTTCCACAAGTGCTCCTGCTTCAGAGTGGACCAGCTTAGACGGCTCCGGGACATCACACACACGGACAGCGGTGCTGCTACCTCACGATCTGTGCTCAACTGGATACATCTAAAGGATGGGGTGTGCTTACACGTCCCCGAATCCCAACCTTCCCACGCGCAAAGGTGGCTCGGAGAGCATTCCTCCAAGGAAAAAGCACCACGGATGGAAGCGCCCTGTGGAAAAAAAGCGCCATGAAGACCTCCAAAGCCTGCAAGCAACTTTGGTTTGCTACCTTATGTCTTCTTCTATCTTGGCCTGTGCCTCGAGATCAAAAGGGTCAGCTGAATAGAGTCGGATCCTCTCCTGCTCCCGCCGGGCTCGGTCCTGCTGTTGCTCCAGCAACACCCTGGTGAATTTCTCTGCAGTAAGAAGGAGATACAGAAATGCTTTTTACTGGAAATTACTCTTGCAAATCAAGTTCTGGCACAGCAAACTTCTTCCTGTGCCAGCATGCACTCAGGGGTAGACTCAGCAGCACACGCAAAAAAGGCTTCGTCTGAAGGCAGCATGGATGGACGTCAAAGGATCGGTGGCAAACCTGGGAACCCACTGAGATGAAGAGCAACTGGACAGAGCTCTTTCTCCTTGTGTCTGCTACCCAAACTCAGCACAATCAAACTCAATTTCCTTGCGCGTGTATTTTCATATGGAAGGAAAATGGAAAAAACATGAAGACAACAATATTTAAAACAAAGAGCTGCCACTAAAACAGGAATTCATTCTTCTGTTGCAGCAAGGTTTGCCTACGCAATACTCAAAAAAACCAAAAAAACCAGCTGCAAAACCAGCAGATAAATGAGACCCAAAGCAGAAATCAGGACTACAGAACTTGCACAATCCAAACGAGAAGCTTGAGTGCATGTGTATTTTGAAAAAGCTTCAGAGATAGAAGCGAGATTTCATAGCTCTCAGTAAGATGGCCCATCTACAAGAACAGCTTGCAAAATCTATCACGTTTTACGCTCGGCAATCCCCGGTAAAATAACAGCCTGTAGATCCAGCAAAGAGCAAACGCAAAATTGTGAGACATAAAAAGGCTAACAACAAAACCTACTTTAAGCCCAGGCAACACAGGCAAAGACAGCGACACTGTAATCCCTACAGCTGAATGCCTACCACTGAAATCAAGAGGTCCTAGGCAGGACACCTGCTTCACAAACTCTAGCACCACGTTTTAAGGACATAGATTTTAGATCCCCGCTTTTTGGATGGCCTCTGGCTATTTTTTTACTACTTGGATGTGATCACGTACGTTCCGCAAAGGACTTGGCAATAAATTAAGTTCTGTAAACACAGAAGGCTGTGGGTTTGCTTCCAGAAATGCAGTTCCCATGAAGAAGCGCTCTGGCTCAAAGGCTGTTAACGTGTTCAGGAAGGCATTGGGTATGTTTTCTTGTTTGTTTTTTTTTCCTTTTAAATTAGGCTTCTGTATAGCAGGTGCCTTCTAAAGTGCTTGCGGTGCATCCAGCACAGTCACATGGCATGTATCTATGTGTACATTTGGGCATCAGAGCCAGTGCTGAACTGGATCTGTGCCCAAATACCGACAAGGAGCAGTACGGAACGATGAGAGCATAACCAGACCAAACCACTTCCTTCTGACAGCCCACTGCGGCGATTTGGGACTAAAAAGGCACATCTGATTCAAAGTTTAATGTGCACAACAAGACAGATCAGCAGATGAGCCAGTTCTGGGTGCCTTGGGCTTAACCTCTCGTTTCCTGTGCCAAGAGCAGCACATCTTCTCAAGGTGACGGGAAAAACTCCTGCACTACGGACGCAGCGCTTGCAAGAAGCGTGAAGAAGCTTGAGAGCGCAAAGGACGTGGTTTTAACTCTGGATATGAACTAAAGTCAGAATTAAAAAATGAAACAGGCTGACGATATCCATGCAAGTTCCTTTCTAGCTTCCTTCGACAGAGAGAAATCACTAGGATGTAACCTTGAAAGTGGGAAAAAAGTCTCCTGCTGGAAGCTCCTTCTCTTCATTCATTTCCCCGAACTCAACAGGATTTATTTCCTAACTAAACATCTTGCAGAGGTTTAGAAGCACATCTTCTGATGCCCCAAACACCACTCTGTTTTCATACTGAAAGGACGCTAGAGCTCAAAGCTTTCATCACATGAAGAACGAGGGACCAACATCGGCTACTCACCAGCAGAGACAGTGACACGGTACTAGGCTTCAACTGTGCCCAAAATACGTGAACACTTTCAAGATTAACAGAAACTTCAACATTTATGACTATTCCTATCGAAAAAGCTCCCTAAAGCCAGTATTTGCTTGTTCCTTCTCCTCTCCCTTTCTGACATCCACTTCCATAGCAGCTAATCATTACGGACAGAGCTGGTTTTATAGTGTACTGCTCTACACCGAGGTCTCAGTGGGCTCTGGGATGCAGCAAACACAACACCGTTATTGGAAAATGTGCATTCCGAGAGTCTCAGCATAAAAATCGGGAGCTGAGCCACTCGTCTTCACAGAAACTCGACTTACCTGTGCCTCTGATATTTCAAAGTAGGGGACAGAGGGTATTAAAAAAAGCCAAGCAGGAGAAATACGCCCAACTTGGCAGAAACAGTCCTGTTAGAAGGAGTACTCCCAACTGGCACCTTTTATCAGCGTCATCAATGAGTTGGCAGCGAACATCCCAGCTAGTTAAAAACCTGTGGCCGCCCTTTATTAGAACCGAGCTCCAACAGATTTAAAACCACCTCCCGCAGATTAAAAACCCAACTTACCGAGGTCTCCACTGAGCAACGCCTCCGCCAAGGGCGGGTTGCGCTCCTTCAGCAGGGACAGCTCGTGAGGATTCGCAAGCAACATCTCCCGTAGCAGCGCCGGATTGTCCAGACCCTGAGGGAATGAAGGTGCATCGGGAGGCGACGGGCGAAGACGCTGTGCTGGTGGCTGATGCTGCTGAGTGGATGTCCCGGGAACCGCGATGCTGCTGAAGTCTATCCTCGGCAGACCTTGAGGGGAAATAAGAGGTCAGATGTGTCGGCGCTTCACGTTTACAGTTCTGCTTGAAAAATGTAGTGGGAAAACTGCAGGAAGGATGAGCCGCTCTTAACGCTACAGGATTAGACGGGATTCTGCGAATAGCAGCTCGTGTCGGAAGCACGGCCACGTACTCGGGTTACTGGGTTAGGAATGCTAGCACGTATTTATGTAACTGGTCTAGCCTTCTATCTGGCCCATTTTTTATCCCCTGAAATGCACTTACTGAATCGCAGACTAGTTATTTCCAGCTTCACAAATGTGAATACCGCACGGAGGGACCGCGAGGCTAAACCCAGTGTCTCTAAGGCACTCGTGAATCTCTCGGATTAAAGAAAAGCCGGAGGGGGGGGGGCGGGGGAGGGGGGAAGTAACATTTCTGCAGACCTGCATTGCAGGTACCAATCCTCCAGCTGAGGCAGGAAGACGAGGACCTCAAGCAACGCTCCCACGCCCTTCTCAGCCAGCGGTACCTTCTTTTCCAGCGATATTTTATGACGGGGATTTGCTAGGAATCGCTGCAGAAGGCAGGACAGAGAAGCAGGGCTCCGCTCAGATGTTATCTGAGGAATCTTTCGCATGTTACGATTGCGTAACTGGGTTTGTTAAGACGTGGCTTCTCTGGGTATTTGTCACAGTACAGATTCAGAGCGTGCATCGCAACAGCCTCTTAAAGTGTCTGAGCCGCACAGACCGCAGATTATTGCGCCATTACACCGAGCGGGAAGGCAACCGGCGGTCGCATGAAAATTCACACGCCTTTACAAAAACTGCTGTTCTGAACCAGTTACCCTCCTCACCTTCTCTGCGTTTCCCCAAAAGAACAGTAAAATGGTATTTGCTTCCTTGGAATTAAAAAAACCCCATTAAATAACAAGCCCTTGAGCTAATTTTAAAAGCCCCCTGCCTCATCCCTAGCCGCCCTCCTTTCCTAAGTGTTTTGCCTAGCAAGGTACTAAAGGAGGCTGACAAGAGATGGAGTTGGTGTTTGATAAATATCGGGATCTTTGCAGGCTCAGAGCAGAAGTTCGCACAAATCCTTCCTCACCTGGGAAACGGATGGAGGGCCGTGGCTCTACAGTCTCTTTCTGTCGCAAAATCACCACGTCCCCGTCTTTCAAGCCATAGGAGGCCAAAGATCTGTTGTTGTCAGTTAGAGGCCGCTCCGCATAGACTATCTGTTCATGGAGAGAGTGCAATGAAAAACACCGCGTGTGACAAAGCAGACAACATCTTGCGCTTTTAATTTCTTTTTTTTTTTTTTTTTTTTTTGGAAAGTGTTCTGGGTAAATCCTCTGGACCCACCTCAAGCTTCAGAAGGGAAGGTGCAATTCTCGCCACGGGCGCAGGCGGGCCCTGCCAAAGCACCTCTACCTCAGGCACAGACAGACCTCAACAAGTAAGTGGTTGGACAACGACGCAGAGTTGGTCTTACTGAAACCCGGCGGTGGTTTCTCGAAACCCAGCATCTCGGAGAAGGGCTGGTCTCTCTTAATTAGAGGCCAAGATTTTTAACAGAAAGAAAGCCTTGGACCTGGGCTGTTTGCCACACTTTTCCAAAATCCAATCTCTATGATTACGCAAGTGACGGCCATCTCCTACAGCGTTATCTCCCCCCAAGTCAGCACCTACTGACCACGGACCGACTGCATGCACGCAGGCAGCGTCGATCAGGATTGATCCATGGATGATCCAGTCCAATATCTATGATCTCTGCCTTTTCCCACAACTCGGTTCCCCAGAATAACCAGTTTTACAGGGACCTCAATGATTAGCTCAGTGATTTCCAGTTAACTTCAGCGATGTAACTCTGTCCAGACTCGAAGGTTCAGCACCCAGAGACACCACTCCCAAGACTGCAATCAGTCCATGGCGGGGAACTAACTTCTTTTGACTATAAAACACAGTCACATCATTTTCTATTACGATAATCTGACTTAACAAGGGGTCCGTGGATTAAACATAAAACCATATTGAGATAAAAACGAATAATCACCATGGGAACATTTCTGTTAACATTAGAACTGTAATACCTACGAATGTCCTAAATTACAGGGAAGCAAAAGAAATAAAATAAAGAAGCACTTTACGGGAACAGAAGTTCCCAGAAGCGATATCTGCTAAACATCAAGGTTTCTGTGCCTTCATCAGAGCGCGAGACTAGGCAGATCGGTTCAACAGCCTCCTACCCCTGGCAGGAGTCCAAAGCAAGAAGTGCCGGAGAACTCGGCCTAAACCCGTCGGGCATACGATTGAATTTCACGTTTACCACCTCGTTTAGCAAGACCGCGTCTCTCTGGGTCTGGAAAAGGCCGGTTCAGCAACAACAGGTTTGCCGCAGGTCGGGACCGGCAGAGCCACGTGGGAGAAGCTTTCGCAGTCCCTTGCGCGGATGGGCTACGGCTCTACCCGATGCTATCGCAAGTAGCAGATCCAAAAAAACCAATTACTACGCGTCTTAAGGTTTGGAAGACGCTACAGACTTTCACTGCTTTACTGCAGCAACTCAGAAATATTACACAGAAATATTACACTAATGCACTCGAAGAGCGGAGCTCCATCGTCAGCGGTGGTGCCAAAGACAAGACAGAAAAAGCAAAAATAGTGAGAACCGCATACGGCAGCAATCAGAGCTATCAGAATTAGAGAAACACACGCGATTAGAAACAAGCGCGAGCTTCCTACCTTCCCATTAACGACACGCTTAACAGCCTCAGCGGCACTGCGCCGGACCGGGTCCCTTCCTAAGCAAACACGGGTCCGTTTGCAAGCTATATGAAGGCGCGCAGCCTCTACTCCGATGGTTTGCAGGACGTTACCGGCATAATTAAGGTTAGCTTGTGATGGGGAGAATCCCAGTGCATCCTTTCACGTTACCGGACGCGTCCCGCCCGGCCTGACTCAGTAACGCTGCTGCCCGCAGAGAGCAAGCTTGTAATAAACCCGAGCTGCACGCGCAAATCTTAAATGGCAGTTTCCCCGCGCAGACACTCTGGAAGAGACAAGTTAATAAGTTTAAGTGAGGTTTTACCTCTGTCATCTTGCTGGGATTGGATTTATGAGCGTTCGGTCTTAACACCTCCGACAATGAATTTAAGCGCCTGGCACTCACTCTACACCCATTAGCAGCGCGGCTTAATACGCTTTTGACCCATTCCGCTCCGCTGTTAAAACAAACTGATTTAATTTTGCCGCGTTTTGATTATCTGGTTTGTAGCATATTTTAGAAGGCGAGCTTGTGGGCTGGCCAGGTACCGGACACGGGCGCTTCCGGAGGTGACCTGGGCAGGGATGTAGGCACCAAGACCGCACAACGGTTGGATTTTGCATGATGCCGTAGGGTAGAACCTCCTTAGGGGGCAAGGAACCCCAATCAAGAGTGCTAGATACCACCAGCAACCACAAATCAATCCAAACCCAGAACCCGTTACATCTCCCTGGCACAGCCAAGGACAGGAGATGGACGGCACGTAAAGAAAGAGAAACGAAGGAAATCCACGGCGCTGCCGGAAGAATGCGGTTCTGCCGAGAGCCTCCCCGTCCCCCCTCCAGAAAAGCCACCCACCGCCTCGATGCGTGGAGGAAACCGCGGCGAGCCGAATTATTTCCCCTCTCCTGGCGCAGCTCCTCTTATCACCGCAGCCCGCCAGCAGCCGTCCCCGTTATCTCACGCCGTCCTCCGCACCTTGCGACCGCAGCCATCCCTCGGAAACCTCGCAGCCCCCTGCTCACCTCCACCCCAAACTGCGGCACCCGGAATTAATTTCACAAAACAGCGGAAAACAAGACGGGGATCAACCCTCCTCCACACACAGCAGTGGTTCGTGCGACCCCTACTATTAAATTCACCCTCCCTTTTGTGCCAACGTGACACCTTTAACGCAACGTACGCCGCGGTTATGGAAAAGCGGCAGCAAACCACCAAGTTTGGTAAATGTAATACCGCCTATTTGCGGAGGGTGGTTTGAGCACGCAAAACCCTTCTACGCGACAAGCTGCTTCGCCGATAACTTGTATTTTTATAACTTTCTCCCCACCGAAGGTCCTCAAAACACTTCACAAACAGGAGATAAAGAAACAATAAATAGAAAACATTAAAGAAAAAGGAAGCAAAACGATGCATGAACGGCAGATGGGTGAGCAGAAGGACAGCAGAGGTGGTTACAAAAAGCACAGCGCCGATCCCCGTTACCTGCCGCTGATATAATCGCAAAACTCCGCAGCGGTTTCGCTGCGGTGGAGCAAAAACTCAAAGCAAGGGAACTCCCGGCAAAACGAGGTCCAGCCGTTTTTCCGTCACTGACTAATATTCGCTTGATTGGGATTATTAATTTAGCCTAGGAGAGGGCTCGGGAAGCAAAAGCCGTCGCCACAAATCTCCGCAAACTCTGCCAGGCGCGGCCAGCGCCCCGGGGAAAGGAGCCGACATCGCCCCGTCCAGCAGCGCGTCGCCCCGCTGATAAACGGGTAGAAATCGCAAAAAAACCCCCAAAAAACCAAAAGAAGCGGGACTGAACCCAAAACAGTGAGTAAACCCCAGACGGACGGACGAGAGCCGCCCCCACGCCGCAGCCTGCCGTGTCTTTTGGCACGCTCGCGACGAGCGAGCCCCGAATTTGGGCCGGAGGGGGATCTCTGCCGGGGGAAAC